GCTGTTTTGTGTCTCTGAGCAACATGACGGTGTTTCGTTCTTGAATGAATCAACCGTTTAAATGATTCGGTTCAATCGCAATGACTCACTTATTAAGAGGGATTTGCTGCCACCTGCTGGCGGTTTTAATTTCAAATTTCGGCTTTTTCTTTTTTTTATAGATTTTTTTGATGTTTTAAATCATTTCAAATATCAGTATTCAACGTTTTATGTTTAATATATCAAAACATTATTTATGCATTTGTAATCGCAGGTTAAATGCATTCATGTCTTGCATTAAACAAAATACATGTGTGTAAATACATCTAAATGCCACTTCAGATGCAGCTTCTGTGTTGATTTCATTTGCTTGGTAACAGCCCAAATGTCTTATTATTCTAATTCCCTGATTAAATGTAAACTCAAATCTCAAATGATAATGGACACTTCTAGAAAAAATGGCTTTATAAAGGTTAAAATGCCCATAATAATCTGTTTTTTCTATCAGTATGAACTGACCACCACACAGAATATGAAGAATATTAAAAACATTAGGAGTCAGCTGTCTTCGGCAGTCCTTAAGGTACCAGCACAATAACACACTCAGCAAAATATCGTCTAATTATCGTCATCGATAAAATCCCAGAAAATATCGAGATATTATTTTTTGTCAATATCGCACACCCCTAATTGAGATGCACCTGTATATAGAATTTTAAACCTACAAGTAAGTGTATTTGTATGATAGCACTAACTGTAAAGTGTAATGGGGTAATCAAAATTGTATACTCAATTAGTCTGTGCTTTTTATTTTCATTTTTAGTTTAGTAACTTTAACTTCTGCTTTAAAAGGATTATTTTTGTTTTTAGATTGCAGTGTTTCAATGTTACAATGTAATGTGATTTTAACCCTTTTTTGCACATAATATATGCCTACATGCTTACATTCACTTTATTTGTTTAATCCAAATACAAAATACCGAGATATATAGGCTACCGTATACCGCAAATCAGCCAAAAAATACCGAGATATGAACTTTTGCTCATGTCGCCCAGCCCTATACAGAAGTGTACTGGAGTTTTAATTAAAGTGTACTGGAGTTTTTTTTATTTTTAAAATAAAAAAAATATTATTTTTTTAATATTTACAAAATAAAAAACACGCCGCCACGCTGATGGTACTCAAAAAAAAATTCCAAGGTTGGCAGGTCTGGAATTCCTTTCAACTCATTTCCAACTTTTTTTGATATGTGCAATGGAAAATCAGTGGACTTCCAATGAGGAATCTTGGGTGTAAGTTCTATAACTCTAGAATTTGGCCAAAATCTGTGTAAAGGTTGGAATACACTACACAACCTTTTAAACCTGAATAGATTTTAAAACACTACGCATCATACACTTGCGACTCTCTAAATAGTTACAGAGGAAAAACTGGCCATCAAACACTAAAACTAGTGAGGATCACTCACTATTAAACGTCCCAAGTCATTCTGAACACAACAAACTAACACCGAAACGCCTCGTTGCTAGGAGATGTGCAGCAAATGAAAACAATACGTTTTCTAAAATAGGCTGAAAATATAAAACGTGTTTGATATCCTCTGACTAGTGGAATCATAGTCTAAAGCTAAAAAAAGAAAATGTCGGAGTCCATCATTATTTTTAATCAAATTAAGTTAAAATAAAATAAAGGGTATGCATCACAATAAAGTAAGAGTATTAAAGTATTCGTTTTTAGTATTTGACCTGGTAATGAGCAGGTTGTAGGTTCATTTCCAGCCTGGGCCAACTCATGAACTGGAGGGTTACTGAGATCACAAATGTCTGCTTAAGTGCCGTTTTGCCCTTGAGCAAGATGCTTAACCTCAGAATTCTCCAGGGAGATATATCGTACCTTCAATTAGTCTAGTGTGTCCTTAATTGCCAGAGAGTCGATTTAGATGAGGAGCTCCTCTAAATGGCTAGACACTAGAACTAAACCAGCAACAATTAGATTGCAGGTTAAAGTTGAACTGTTAATTGAACGAATGTAGCACACATTCTTTGTAACACAAGTTCTTTGTCTTGTTTTCCCCTCCAGAATCTTGTGAAGTACCTGCCTGAACAGGAGCAGCTGATCGCACTGGTCAAGTACAAGAGCGAATTTGCCAACCTCTCTGAACCGGAGCAGTTTGGAGTAGTGGTAATTA